ACAGCAGATTTTTAACGTTACTTAAGAATTGATTTAACCAAAAAATATTTAATAGATATTTTCTTGCAAAAAAATCATTATATATACCAATTATGGCGGTGCTTTGTTTGACACAAAGAAACAAGTTTGGAATTTAATGATCATTTTCCCCTTCATTATTTTTTTTTTAATTTATGAGATGAAAAGAAACACTTTCATTTCCTAGAGGTGATTAAAACAGCATAATTACAAACAGAACGTACAATATGAATAAGGAAAAAAAATAAGAGATTTTTTTTTTATTTTCTTAAAAAGTACATTTCATTTGCAATATACATGTATTTGAAGCCGTAGTGACAGAAGAAAAAATATACAATTGTTTGACATATGTTTATGTATAGAATCACTTATACCAAGTTCAAAACATCATTGACAAAAATATTTTTAAAAATTACAAAAATTGAAAGTCATGCACTAAAAAAACCGTAAAAAAAATCTTACCATAAGCCTCTGCTATTTTCCCAATCAATGCAATTTCACCAAGAAAATAAATTAATGCAGTTCCACATTTCATGTTTAATACGGGATAACTTATATGCATTAAGTTCATTAAGTGTTATGAGATTTTGTTTAAGAAAAAAACTTTTTCTGAACGAGGCAAGAAGGCAAAAAATTCTCAGAACTCTACTTTATCTTCAACGTTTTATAAGACTTCAGATTTACAATGGCCATTTTCTAAGAAATTCTCGTTGTATTAAAGAAAGGAACATCTAAGTAAGAATAGTAGCATACATTACTGAAAAATTTTAGTATTTAGCTACATGTTCTTCAATATATTTCCTTCTTCCTATTTCCCTAAGTGAACAGTTATTTTTAGAATAAAGTACGTCACATTTACTATATATATTTTTCGTTTTATTGACACTCATAGCCTATCAAATAATAAAAGGTCTTATTAAAATCTTATGGCAGTTTACTCTTTTATTAAAATTTTCCTAGAATTGTATTTGAATCTGGTCGATGAGAGAAAACCGATATTTTTATTTTCTTTATTTTATTTCTCTTTCAAATCTAAGAAGGATATATGTAAATCTACACTTTTAGAATTTAGACATCTGGATGCTTGATTTTATCTTCAACTCAGCAATATCATATATCGATGACGTATTAACAAATAAATAATGATAATTTTAATTCATTTAATAGCTAAATATTTAACAGTAATCTATAAATAAAGGGGTTTTTGTATGTCCACTTTTCCAGGTAAGTGAAAAAATTCTCTGGCTGCCCCCCCTTTCAAAAACGGTGCTACGTTTCTTTCATATTTAGATGCTTCACCGATTAAAGACATAGTTGCAAACTAAACTTATACACTACTACACACGGGTTGACTTCAGCTTTTTGATCGTCAACTTTCCTTATTAATGTTTTAATACTGAATTAAAGCTACATATGTTGTTATGTATCCAAAATTATTCGACGCTTAAGAGCGTGCATTCACTTCTTAAGCCGAGACAATCTACTGACAATTTAGTAATTGTAAATATGATGATTCAGCCTCATTAAAAGTCAACATTCAGCAAATTTAACAGGTGCTTTGGTTGATGTGATAGAATTAATAATTTTTTTTGTTTTTATTTTATTTTTTTATTTATTTTTTTTTTGGGAGGGTTTTGTAACAACTGTGGTTCGGCAGTAGTTTTAGAGATTACAATTTCTGACTATAATTTCTTGTGAAACTGTTTTAAAAACTAAAGACTCCGAGGTATTCCATCTTACTTATCAATACATATAGCTCACAGCAAGCGATATCAGTCGACAGGGGATGATTACTTACCATGGGCATCTGATCCCCACTCTAATATGGTCGGTGCTTTAGTCCTATTCAAGACTTTTTTAATCTTGTTTTTTTTTGGTATTCTTTTTGTATTATTTTTTTTATGGGGGTCGTTTTTTAATGAGATTTATAACTGACAATATTATATGTAAATGTTTTCTAAACTTGTACAATTTGAGAATAACAACATAACCCTTTAATTAGAAGACACCTACACATCCTCACAATCAAATATATTGCAGAATATTGAAGAATTAAGTACTTTTTTTACATGTACTATGTCACAGACTTGTTGCTTTAATAAATGTTTCTATCACGCAAAACAAAAACAAGTCTATATGATTGTTAATTTTATCAACTGTGTACATAATCCTTAAAAAAAAAAAAAAAAAAAAAAAAAAAAAAAAATGTACATCTGGAAAATGCGGAAATCGCCTTCAATAGAATCCCTTTTCATTTAAAATACAACCAAATACTTAAACAGAAGAAAGGATACCGTCTCAGCACGCTTCCTTATGGTTGGAGTTTCCATCGCCTTAATAAAAACAAGTACACACTAAAAGGTTTGAAACATATTCTGAATTGACTCAGATCAGTCATGTCAATTAAATTATTCATTATTGCCTGTATTCAAGCAAATACGTGTATTGCTGTGTATGAATGAACTAATGTGATCTAAATGCCTAGTCGTTATTAATGTCGTATTAATGCACTGCAGGGTAGTCTTGGTTTTTTTTTTCTTTCGGGTGATAGTTTCTAAGTGCCCATTAGTAACGGCTATTAATATTAGCCTCATCTCTATCAAAATAGCTTTTGGCTCCAAAATGCGTGGTTTAAAAGTTTTCTCACCTCCACCCTCTAAAACATTCATGCACATTGCCTTAAATGTTAACGTAGAACCTACGTCGTATGACATCATAACTAGTGAATGTGTTTAGCCTGTACCAGATCAATTATGAAGTCATAATTAACTAAATGTCACTTTTTCCCGTACTTTTCAGCTTCAGTAGAAATGGTTAAAAAATGCTGCATTTTGAAATTCACAGAATTCAATTTAAAATCATGCCAAAATAATCTTAATTCAATTTATGTATTTTTTTGCTTATAATGCTTAATGACAATATATTTCTTGAATTAAAGAAACCTGTAGGGACCTTTCATTTAATAGATCTTGACCCTTAAATAAGTTGACAAATCATGATATCTTGTGTAATGAAATTACAATGTATACAACTTACTGTAATAATGTAAATAGTATGTAGTTATTTTGAAAGAATGCAAAGATCCTAAAAAACTCTTCAGTTGCCAACTAAATAATGTAATATTTTGGTAAAATGTGTCTTAGTCAAAGATGTACGTGTTGTAGATCGTGTGTACATTTTGTGATATATATCATGAAATGATGTCCATTCCTTTTCATAATAATTTGTTACTTATTCATATTCTTGGAGTTTGATTACAATTTTTCTATTAAATATGATCTTTTAATTAAAAGTTCAATTTTCTATAAATATTTTTTATCTCAAAGTAACCCCAAACAGTCATTTAATAATAAAATTCGTGTAAGTGCAAAAAAGTTCAAGAATATTAGCATCGCTAAATAACCTATCTCTCATTAGTTAGAGGGGAAAGTTATATATATTAATCACTTTTTTAATCATTTGGATATATTCTTTGTCATATTGAAGATTAAAAACATCGTGACAAAAACTTCTCAAAAATATTTACAAATGTAGGGTGGAAAATTGACTGCAAATAAATAGAGTTCATTTGCATATAGTTTTTAACATGTGGACTTATCTTTTATGTCTATTGAAGAAAAAAGAATTTATTCTCAGGAAATATTGCTTAATACTGTTCAATTAATAAACAATAAAGACAACGATGTTTTAAGAGGTAATTTTGTGATTTTTTGTCTTCTTTGCATGACAAGTACCCCTAAAAATGACTGAAATTGTGAAGTCGCAATATGTAATTATCATTCCATGTTTCACAGGCTGCACTTCATTTAATAACAAGGAAACATGTCATGTGCTTTTGACTGATTGATAAGTAAGTGCTTATTTATCATTATAAAAAGATTGAAAATCTTATAACAAAGACTACCCTGACAGATTCTACCTTAAGATTACAAGTTTTCTTTTGTTTAAAGTGCGGAATATTTTTGGACCCTCCCTCTTGCTGCATTCCTGAATTGTAATTATTTATATATATGTCATATTTTTGGTATTTGAAATAAATGCTATGTTCACAATTTTTTACTTTATTACATGCATTCAAATCGCTGCAGAACAGTGGAGCTGCAAATGTGCTGTACATATGTGATCTGAATCAATAACTATTGCATGTAATTAAGAGCACATAAAAATATTTACTGTCAAAACAAATGATGGCATCAAATTCATTTCTTAATTATCTTTAACGTTATTTCCTGCAGCATGGAAACCGTACCGATTCAGGCAAAATACGTGTAGTTTTGAAATATCCAATTCCTCTTGCGCAAAACAAATGTTAACAGTCTGTGACAGTTTTTTTGTTTCATGTTTGTTAAAACATCAAAATATGAAATATAAATCAATAGTCTTTATTTTTGGTTACTACGTGGATTTCAGGTTGTGATAAAAACTCATCTTCAATATACCGACTTTCTATGACTTTTCAACGATTGTAAGTGTATTAGTCATGCAAAATATGTTTTTTGTATTATGTCAGATTAGAAAAAAAAATACAAATAAAAAAAATCAAATTGACTAAAAATACAATATAAAACTGAGATTTATTTAAATGAAAAGAAAATATCTTACCAAGAGCATATACAATGTTTCCGAACAATATCAATTCGAAAAGAAAATAAAACAACATAGCTTAGCTGTCTATGTAATGTAAGGTGCTACAGAATAACTATCAAACGGGAAGCAAAAAATAAGACATCATTTTGTTTAATGGATAAGGCATTCAGTTTTAAAAATCATAGTTATTTTTGAATTTATGTGAGACCTTATATTGACAATGTACATTTATCAGAAAAAAAGCTAAACGATAAAGATTTAAAAAAAAAATAGTACATTTTATTATTCAAAGTAGTAACACACTTTTTGATTGTAAACAGTTTCGAAATTTGTTTTTTCTCAGTATTCTTTTTCTTTTTATTTCGTTTGTTAGATTTCCCTATCAGGAGCACATGGCGGGTGTGACAGGTCGGCAGGGGATGCTCACTGATCCCACGTCTGATGTTTTGGAGGTCCGTCTTTGCTCTGTTTCTATTTTGTATTGTTAATAAGATAGAGGATATTTAATATATTGTAGTTAGATAAAGAATTTTGATTTCATATATGGGCCTTATTCTTAAAAAAAAAAAACCAAATCTCTCTTTATATTCACGAGAGAAAATAAAAGAAAAAAAAACTAATCAATCTCACGATTGAAACTCTATTATTCAAATAAAAAAAAACACAATAGGATATTCTATCAATTACAATTGCTTTTGCGTCCATCTTTCGTGAAACGGTGACATCATAGTTTAGAGATTGAGACGTAATCACTGAACGATTGTACGAGATATACAACACTGTAGGCACTTTACAAAATGGTTTATTTGTCCCCTATTGGTGAAATCGGAAGTTCACCAGTAGGGACTTAATGTATCTTCTACGTCTGTCCAAACGTTCGTCTGTCTTTTCCCCTGTCTGTCCAGATCTGACAGTGTCGCGTTTAGTTTTCCACACTTTTAATCGCTTGCAGAGATGTGCTGATATTTTGGTTTGTGAATCTATCCTAAAGAATTAAATATCAAGTTTGCAATTCGTTCCTCTTAATTGGTTTTATTTAGAGAATTAGAACCCTTTAATTTTCAAGGGTTCATCCACAATATGTTTTAAACGCTTGAAAATATAATAGTGACTTTTGGTATGCCCTTTTTCCTTCAGTTGATGAGATAAATATTAAGAATGCTTTTTATTCCTCTTCAATGAATTTTTACGGATTTTTTTTTTTCATTTCATCGCATTTTCATTTTATTATAATAATGAGAAAAAGATTACTCTTGCCGACATGGGAAAGTTACTGCTATGGCAACAGTCTCAGAAGGCTTGTATTATGTCTATATATCCTAAAAAAGGGCAAAAAATCTTTGTGAATTGAAGGAAAAGAAAATCGTCAGTTTGGCAGAGCTTTGGAATTTCCTTTCATATTGCAAAAAGATTGTGTTATTTTTACTTAACACTACTTTTTGAGAATTCATGGGCCATGGGTAGGATTCTAAATTTTATTTTAAAACAGCTTTTATTTACAGTTATTAGCTTCACATCATCCTTATCAAAAAGCGTTCACTGTAGCTCAGATGGTGGAGCGCTCGTTTCATGATCGGGAGGTCGTGAGTTCGTATCTCAGATCAGCCGCGACCGATCTAATTCGATAAAAAATGGGTACACAATTACAGTCCCTGAAACGCTCTACTTTCCCACCTTAACGGTGAACGAACGCTGAACGAACGGTGAACGAACGCAAAGCGAACGGTGGGTGAACGATGTGCAAACGCTGAACGCAACTTGGTGAACGATGTGTGAAAGGTGAACGGTGAGTGAACGCAGAACGCGAACGGAGCGCAAATGCGAGCGCAAAGTGAACGGTGAACGAAAGGTGAACGCAAGATGAACGATTTATTTGGAATGCATCTGATCTTTTCCTTCCATTGAGTTTATTCTATTATTCTTTAATTCTAATTTTAGGTAATTAAATATAAATTAACAATAGATTAATGAATAAATTAATAAATGAATAAATAAATAATAAAAACACTTTTGTTCTGTACATATATGCACCTATGAATTAAATCGATATTTTTATAACACAATTTTAATTGCCGTAAAACATGTGTATTTGTTTTCGAACGCGTGTAGATGAAATATAAAATAAATCTATTTATATAGTAAATATGCTTTTTCTTTTCACTAATAAAATAATGTGGACTTCTGAAGATAAAACTACTACTTATAGAATGAATTAATTACATTGTACGGGGTTGAAACAACCATACATGTATTTCCGTGCCAAGGCAATTCTTTGTAAAATATAGGATTTTTTTTTTAATTCAGAATTATCTGTTGATATTGACTGATATCGTACTCCATAAAAACTCTCGTTTTATTTAAATTCTAATGCAAAATATTCTATATTTATGTGCCTTTTGTATTCTTTTATGATGATTATTTTAGCTAACTTCTTCATGTATCTGTAGACATTTCCCGGTCGTGATAATACTCGGTCAAGATTTTGGGGGAAAAAAGCATTGTACGGGGTTGAAACAACCATACATGTATTTCCGTGCCAAGGCAATTCTTTGTAAAATATCGGATTTTTTTAAATTCAGAATTATCTGTTGATATTGACTGATATCGTACTCCATAAAAACTCTCGTTTTTTTTAAATTCTAATGCAAAATATTCTATATTTATGTGCCTTTTGTATTCTTTTATGATGATTATTTTAGCTAACTTCTTCATGTATCTGTAGACATTTCCCGGCCGTGATAATACTCGGTCAAAATTTTGGGAAAAAAAACATTATTTGTAATAGATTAAATTTTCAAAACTAAATTAGTTTTTATTGAACAGAGAAATGTACGAGAGAGAGAGAGAGAGAGAGAGAGAGAGAGAGAGAGAGAGAGAGAGAGAGAGAGAGAGAGAGAGAGAGAGAGAGAGAGAGAGATAACCCCCTCAATTCGCAGATATCTGTTGTATCAAATAAAAATTATCATTATTTTTCCTAAATATTCCAAGAAGTAAAGGTAATTTATTTTTTTTAGATTAACAAATCCATTTGACAGAAATCATTGGCTTTATTTTCCATGATCAAGTTCACACAGTATACAGGACGTCCGTGCTAGTAGCGTGCTTGCCCTGTCAATCAAAATAATTCGACACAGTGGAGGTATGGAAATCGCATTTCACCGAACATGCCGAAGCATTTCCAAGAAGTTTTAAATTTTCTTCTCATTTCTAGATCTGATTTTTGCATTCCTGCAGACAAAATAAATAAATAATGGGAATATATACTTTGAAGGATTAAGTTTTAAATTGAATTCGAAAGATATTCCGAGCCAATTTAAAATATTGCGGAAATAGTTTATTCTGAAATACTATTGTTGAATGATTTTTGATATTGGTTTTAAGACTGGTTTTCTTGTGTTACAATACACATTAAATATAAATTAAAATATAATGAAAAAACTCTAAGAATTTTATTTCGGGAGAAAAGGCACCGGGGGTCTTAATTACACTTAGTGGCAGACATGTTTAGGTACAGTGAAGGAAGCAATTTTCCTGCTCTAATAATAGACTATTTTAAACAGTTGGTCTTTTCTAAAATTTTAAACCACACTATCAATTTAATTAGCTCTAGAGATATTTAATTAAATATTTGAAGAACTGTTCTTAATTCTCAAACCTACGTGTAGTTTAAAATACGCGTTACTGTAGAAATAATTTTTTAATGTATTCTTGTCCTGTAAAAGACTTGGATTAATTATTATACATCCATTAATAATTTTTCCTCTTTAAAATTACAACAAATGGATGCCGTGCGTGAAGCATTTGTAAATTGCCTTTTTGTAATTAATATTTTAGCATCGTTCTACATACATATAGGTTTTTAATGTATTATTTTTCAGGAAAATTTCATGAAATAAGTAACAGCTGAGTTATAATAATAGAAGTAGAAATAACACAGATATATAATTTTTGCAATGAAATAATTATTCTTCAATCACGATATCTAAATTAATTAATTTAAAAAACGCGTAAATCCATACCATCAAAAACATGTCCTTTCACTTCGGATGACAATGAAGACTGAACGATAAGTGAACGGTGAACGCAAGTTGAACGCAAAGTAAACGGAACGAAAAGCGTTTTGTGAACGCAATACTGTGAACGAACGGTGAGCGAACGGAAAAATAGAAAAGTAGAACGTCTCAGGGATTGTATTTCTTCTCTATGCACTCGAAACTTGAAGTGAAAGTTGCGGATGAGACCTTAAAAACAGAGGTTCCGTGTCAAGACAGGCGCGATAAAGGTCCTTCACAGCTCAATGGCCCTGAGTTCCGAGTAAAGGTCACAATTTGAAGCCCTTCTCCGGCATACGTTTCCATAAGAGTGAAAAATACTCGAGAGGGACGTTAAACAATATACAATTAATCAATCAATCCGTAACAAAATAGTATTTTTTATGATATGCATTAATTTTTTTATATCACTTTGAAAAATATCTACTGAAACGCAAAAGAAACGCAACAAGCAGTTACCTACAACTATTTGAATCTTTTATTTAATGATTTTCAAAAAAATAAAATCAGTAAGGGTTAAATTAGTTTTAAAAACAGAGATTACAAATGTAAAATGGTTATCTTAAGAAACTAACACATTTCTGTTAAACAACCCCCTCTACTGAAAAAAACCTTTTGATTATACCTTTCTTATTAATATTATCAATTTATTGTGTACACCATCATGCATTGACAAAATATCGAATTATCATTTAGAAAGTTAACTAAAAAAAACTTTGGAAGTCAGAAGAATTCAGTTTATTAATCGTCCAATTTATTAAACTCTATAAACTTATGTAAGTTCAGTGTGAAAATTTTGATATCAGATATGTAAACATTTCCAGAGATTTTTTAGATTTTTTTTAAACAATCTTTTTTATCAAAATTTACTCTTATCATGTGTTATTTTTGGAAATGACATTTCTCTTTTTTTTGTACGAAGATGCAGCTTTTTGATAAGGGATTGGATGAAAATTAGGAGTCATGTAGTTTAGGATATAAAGAGTATCGTTCAAAATTATTTTTTAAAATAAAATTTATTCACAATGGCAAAGGTAATGATATGTATTAAGATAACTATTAATTTAATAAATAATAGCAGAGGTAATCATGATGATTATTTAATTTCTTCTTTTTGAGAAAAAAAGAAATATCAAGATATATAATGAACAGCTTGTTTATATTTACACTTCTTTTTTTTTTTTAGATTTGAATGCTCCCTTCTTTCTTTGTTTAAATTAACACTGCATCACCAATCTAATGTTAATTCTCATAAATGAAGTGTTAATTTGTTTGATCCGGATCTTCATATATTACACTATCTCCATCTTCATCTTTGATCTCTACTTGCAATTTTGAAGGTTCGTTGGATATATCTGTAAGATCCGGGTCTTCATAGACTACACTATCTCCATCTTCATCTTTGATATCTACTTGCAATTTTGAAAGTTCTTTGGATATATCTATTTGATCCGGGTCTTCATATACTATACTATCTCCATCTTCATCGTTGATCTCTACTTGCAATTTGGAAGGTTCTTTGGATATATCTGTTTCATCCAGATCGTCATATACATGCACTAAACGTTCTTCAACTTTAATCAATGCATTCGATTTTCTAGGTATCGGTGTATTTATTTTCCTTTGTTGATTCTTTCCTTTGCGCGTTTTCTTTCTACAGCTCCTAAAATATATCTGATTTCTTTAAATGTTGGAAAGATGTAAGCAGATGACAGTTTTAAAAATATTTGCAATCATTAACTACGAAGGAGTTGAGAAGGAACACAATATACAAAAACTCACCAGATAATTAAAACGAGATTTAAGCCAACACTTGAGAGAAGAGAAGCTATCAATCCGTACACTAAGTAAAGGTTCTCCTCACTTGTATCAGAATCTAATGATCCTTTTATCACTGCAAAAAAGTAATTTTAACATTAGTGCTTTTTTAAAAAATCTTTCATCTTTAATCTATATTTTATAAGTAAACCAATTATCTATCTCTTGGAAAAAATATCAAAATTTAAAAATACATATGTTCAAAGCCAATTACAGTAAGAGCTCAAGCATTTCAATTCATTTTTTATAGATTACATGTATGCTGGATTATTTGATCGATTTTGGTAAGTCTTTCTTTATTTATAAAGTAGTATTATAATGCAATCTATGTCCTTAAGGCTTATACTTTCAAGAACTTTAAATAAACGATCTATCTCGTAGAAAAAAATTATTCAAGGAAGTACTTAATTTTGCAGATGATAAATTCAAGAATGTTACCTGCTGCTCAATCTAAAAGTACATTAATTTTTGATTTCTGTTTTTAGGAAACAATTAAACCTTTTAAGAAGACTACATTCTTGTATTCAGAGCATTTTCAAGATCTAGTAAACAACATCAAATTCGGTTGCTACTCGTATACAATATTTTTTTGCCTATAATGGATTGTGTTTATATACCGTTACATTTCCCTGATCTTGCATCACATCTCCTGACAAAGCTACAGTTGGTACAGGTTTCTTTGCAGTTGTATCCATATCGTCTGTTTCGGCACACTGGAAAAAATAATCAACATAAATAACAATGACATGTAGAGTAAAACATACTTATAAAGAATTGCCTTTCTTTGCCTTGTTATATATGTATACGCAATGGGATATTTTCGTTAGCATATCAATATGCTTAAAAAATAATTAGTTATAAAAGGCGTCAAATCATTAAAACCGGAATTGCTTAAAACATATTGTACTGTATATGTAAAATATGTTTATCTTTTTTTTCATTTTTTGTGTTAAAGTGCTGGCAATATCAATTCTATTAATCATACACTCAGGTGAAACTGACAAAATCCATTGCATACATATAAACCCTAATTTCAGTATATCGCAATGGTTGAAATACTTCGGATTACATATAAATTACTGTAAAATGTTAAAACACCCATGGTCACATTTGGAATTTTTTTTAAATTGCATTCTAAGTACACATTGAAAAATGCATTTATTTTGTGTAAACAATGGAATACTATGTTCTATTAAAATCCATCGCTCAACGGGGAGGATACTTTTTGAAAAAAAAGGTTTACAGGGTGTGAAAATCTTTCATCTTATTAAAAAAAAGACCCCCCCCCCTCTAAAACAATTGTTTGTATAATGTAATTTACTATATTTATTACATTTTTACCCGTGAAATACTGTAATTTATTCATTGAATAAAAATGATATCCTGTCACACTGTGAAAGGATATCAAAATGATATCCTGTCACAGTGTGACGAATATCAGAAGTGCGGGAAAACTCTCGATTTCCCTTCCCATAACGAAGATTGCTGTAAAAAAATCTTCCTTGACCTAATATAAGATAGATGGAAATAAATAAACCATTCTGACAGCGAATAAAACTGTCAAAATTACCAAACATATGTTGCTAAATCCATGTTTACAGTGTTTTCGCCTCACATAGCTATGACGTCTCAACCGCTCAACTATGACGTCACGAGTCTATGACTGTATTACAAAAATACAGAGAGAAAGAAAAAATCAAAGAACTTTTTTTTTAAAATGTAATAAACAGAAAATTCAATGTTTTGTAGTTGAATATGGAATTTATTTCACTCGTGAGACAGGATTTTTTGATATTTTCACTCGTGCTTCGCACTCGTGAAAATATCAAAAACCCTGTCCCACTCGTGAAATAAATTCCATATTCAACTACAAAACATTGAATATCCTCTATATATTTTTTTTTATTTTAATCGATATCTGAATGAGTGACCATTTAATATTAATGATATATTCCAGCACGACACACATGCTTGTAAATTTATGCCTTTCAGTATTTTTGTAATTAATTGACTTAAAAAAATTCAATTGTTAACTTCCCTTATTTATGCAGCAGCTTATCTTTGTCACCAGGAGTTTATACATGACAAGAAGCACACGGCGGGTGTGGCCGGTCGGCAGGGGATGCTTATTTAATTTGCTTAACAATAATTGTCCAATTATAATCTGCAAAATTCATGAAAGGATTTTATGTATACGTCACCTTGTGTACAAGTGTCTCCTTGGTAACCCTTATTGCAGCCATTCGAGCATGTCCCATTAATGTGATGACATTGTTCATTTCTGAAGCAATTTTGAACTCCACATGACTTAGTACAGTTTTGTCCAAAACTGCCCACATCACATTCTATTAAAAATATTTATGTAAATCCATTGACAATAGTTTAACTCTGTTTGATACGAAGAAACAAAATTAAGATTCTGTGAATTGAAAAATGCCATTTATTTACATTATAAATGACTATATGAAAAAACATAGAATCATTTACATTTGAGCATAATTCCATCAGCATGTAGAGACATTTTACTTTGAAAGCTGCTAGCACATAACATTAATAGCAACTGCTCAGCTGTACATATTACAGCTCATTGCGACAGATCGCAAACATAAAGATGGCATACTCTAAAACCTGGCCTGGCCCCTTTGGCCTGGCCTGGCCTCTAAGTTGGCTTCAAACCAAATTTTGGCCTGGCCTCAAAAGTTTGCCTGGCCTCAAATATGGCCTCTGTAAAAATTTTTGGCCTCAATTTTGGCCTCACTCAAAAATAATTTCTTTTTCAGAATTTGATTGATTTTATTGAATTTTTATTGATTTCATTTTTTTTTTTTTACAGATTATTTATTTCTGTTGAAATGTAAATGCGAAAAGTGAAATAATTATACACTACTACCAATCTGATTTATTTTTATTGATTTTCTATTGATCTGTTGCAATTCTGAAGACTATAACACAGAGCATATAATTTTACTTTTAATAAGACACTCTCTTAATGATTTATTAAATGTGCCTTTATTTTTTTTTTATTTCCATGGTAGGAATGATAATTTTTACAGAGTAAAACATTTAGAAACATCACAATTAAATAATCAAGACAACAAAGAGATGCAAATGAGTAGTAATTAACTAAGAACTAAAAAGAATTTTAAATTTGCCATTTTAAGTATTACTTGTTTAATACAAGTTTTTTTTAAACTGTCTTTATTTAAAATAAAAAAAATCTGTTTGATGATGTTGACTACTTTTACAAACTGATAGAAAAAAGAGTCAATACTATGATATGCAAGTAATTGACCACATTTTATATGATAGGGTTCTAATGGTCTGGTGGATAGAATGCAATTGTTTTACAGCACAAGTGTTAATAAACTATCATCAAACTCAACTTTTGTTTTGATAATTGTTGGTAGTGAAAGTTGTAGCAGGAAATTCTTTATAAATCATGGGTGGCTTAACAGCCTATGCACATATACATGTCATTACTGATTAACTTCAACCTTTAAACTCCCTGTCAAGAACCGTGCTGCAGAATTTTTTGTCATTTGATATCCAATTACAGTGCTACGGCACAGGAACAGAAAGTTATAAATTATCTGATAAAGTTATTTATCTTAATTTTTTTTAAATACCAACTGTTCTTAGATTAAAGTGAACATGAATTTTTAACAGAGTACTCAAATCAGTATAATATAAATATTTTGGTATCTGTCTTGGTATATTTATTTGAAAAAAAAAATCTTAGGTGCCTGTATTCATATATCACACAGATGATGCAGGCATAACAGTAACACAACACTCCACAGTGTGTGAAAGATGATGATTCATCTACTTAACAAGTGGGAATTTTTCAAAGCTATTAATGACATTTGACATGAATTATTACTAGAGATTTTTTTCAATGTTCACAATTTGGAAAACACAAAATAAACTCTGATACTTTTTTTTCTAAATAATTATAAGCAAGAGTATTGGTAGCGTGTCTGTATTAAATACCTGTAAATAATAAAATGAAATAAGTGTACACTGATCAATTGATAATCAGTAAAATAAAGCATATTGGTGGTAGTACATGATTATTTTTAATGTTCACATTTACATATCAACAGAAATATATAAATCACCTGCTTAATCTGTGAAAAAAATGAAATCAATAAAAAAAACCAATAAAATCAATCAAATTCTGAAAAAGAAATTATTTTTGAGTGAGGCCAAAAATTTTTACAGGGGCCAAATTTGAGGCCAGGCCAACTTTTGCGGCCAGGCCAAAATTTGGTTTGAAGCCAAATTAGAGGCCAAAATAGAGGCCAGGCCAACTTAGAGGCCAGGCCAGGCCAAAGGGGCCAGGCCAGGTTTTAGAGTATGCCCATAAAGATGCCATGTGCATCAAAATGAACAGAAGCCATTTCTACTGTGACAGATCACAGTGCATATAGTGACAGATCACTAAAACGATGCCATGTGCATCAAATGACTAGCAGCTATCGTAAAATGTTCTACACTTAAACCTAAACAAGTTTTGATTCCGTACGCCATAACATTGTTGTAAATCGATATTTAAAATTCAAGTACATGTATCTTGAATGCATAAATTACATAAAAATAAAGAAATAAATAATAAAACTTATCTCGTAACATGAACATGGTGAAGGTAAACATGCCATTAGGGTTGGGTAGTCTTCTTGCCCCACGTAGATTCCTGTATATATCATCATCCCATGTTCTTTGTTAAAGTGAACGCCATCACAAAACATCGGAAATTTAAAGTGTTTAATATTTTTAAGTTTCCAATACTGAACACTCGTTTTCTGTACCAGCAGACATTTCAATTTTCTGTTGAATTTAATTACTAGTTCATTATAAGATATTGTGTATAAAAATCGAGTTTTAAACGGAGGCATAAGCTGTCAAATTTTCACATGTGCAATATTGTTGCGTGGTGGAAACGTTTATTAATATGCGATGCATAAAAGGCGCAAGCTTAATTCCCTCACAAATGGTTCATTATCTCGTGTATCTGTTACATTGTCAACATCGTTTCCTCCTTTATGTAAAATAAGAACACCTGGGCGTAGATCTGCGTTTTTTCTTTCTAACATATTTATATGAGCCGATTATGATAATTTGCCACCACTAATTCCAAAATAATTAACCGCCGGATACCGGTATTCACATTGCAATCCCCGTAATCAGGGTAGGCATCAATTCACTGTTTTGAAATATATACTTCCACCAACAAAGCTAGATCTGTTCCACAATATTAAAAGGTTTAATTCCGAATCAAAGAACAACAAAGATCCAACATATCGAGGAAAATAACCATCAAAAATTGCAATTAAAATTACAGCAGAATTTTTGTTTGCGCGTTCACTGACAAGGTTCCGTGAGGGAATGGTGAAAGTCGTGAGAACCCGCGCGCATATCTTAGCATCCGACGGCCGAGCCTATAAATCATATCAATTTACAGAGAATTCTTCGAGAATTGCTTTAATCTCACGGATAAGATTTTTCGGGATTTAGAAACTTAATTGCTAACATGGGTCTGCCGTGTCAGATGTTTTACATAAATTAATTTAACGATGTAAATTAAATATATAAGATTGATACCTTGATATTGCCTTTTAAATTTCCTTTATTACATTTTTATATAAAGTCATAATGAAAAAAAAATAACCAATTGTGCTCTTTTAAAAAAAATATGTATTTTCTACAGGAAAGTTCATGTACATATAAAATGATTATTGGTTTTTTATGATAAAAAATAACAGAAATACAAAAAAAAGAGATATATCTATTTATATATAAAAATAATCTTTCTAGCAATGTTCTCAGATTTTTGTCAATTTCAAATGATCCCTGCAGCAATAATCCATACTTATTAAAACAACTTTCATGTTTGGTTATTTATTTGTCTTTCTGAAAAATGACATCGAGTGTTTTATCTATTACATTTTGTATACCAAAAGCTTACTTTTGTCACATTTGAGGTCCTTCCACCCTGCCTGACATCCATCCTGACATTCTCCCGTCACTCTGTTACATCTACCAGGGACGCCACAGTTAATACTACACATATCCTGACAATTATAGCCATAATATCCTTCAAGGCATTCTAAAAAAGGGAAGAAATACTAAAAATAAGAATTAATATTAACTATTTATTGATATATTAATGTGTTTTTTAAACTTGATTCATGTGTTCATTCAACTGTAGGTGAACTGTTGTAAAAATTTATATTGACAAACAGTTGTGATAAAAGTCCAAGAGATTGATTGATTGATTTATACTGTTTATTGTAACGTCCCTCTCCAGAATATTTCAATGATATGGAAAGTCCAAAAGAAATGTATATTTTAAGAGTATACGGAGATACGAAAGGAGAGGATTGTGGCATTGCACTTTGAAAAAGAGCAAGAGCAATCGTATGCATAAAATGACCCTGTACTTATAACAATTAATTAACTATCACCCTCTTTCCCATTTCATATATCAAAATAAAGTAGACACTTGGTGCTTTCATTTTACATAATAAAATTTCATTTTGAGAATCCAGATATTGGAATAACAGGTTTGAGAAACTGCAATATTCTTGAAATTTGTTGAAAAGATGAGTATTTGAATACATTCAGCAAAGAATTAAAATATGAGCACAGTCCACGTTCCAAAAATAAAATATGTTTTCTGATCTTCAGAAACAGAGGTTTCATTCTGTATTTGAATATTTTGGATCAGAGGTTGTGCTCTATATGAAATATTGAAAAAATGCTTCAACTTCAAGTCATTTTCAAAGGAATTGAGAGAATATGAAAAAAAAAACGCATTTTATGACGTCATAATGCATTGACTAGATGTGAAATTTACATCACGATTAATAGATACCTGGTCACAGGACGATAAACTGAGAACAGACTAAAGTCAAAATTTTGATTTTTAATATCCTTTAATTTCTTTCAATGTATTACAATAAAATTCTGCAATTGTGCGAAGTACTTCAATTCAACCATATGATAACAGTTTTATTTTTTTCACATTTCTTTCCAAAGTTATATCAATTTGAAATTTTGACTTAAGTCTGTTCTCAGTTTATGGTCTTGGGGCCTGGTCACCAACACTCCAAGTGATAAATACTGCATTTGCAACCTAAAGTGATTGGTTTTGATTTTTCAGAAATCCTCAGGGCCAAATAAGGTCCAAAAAGGTTCTTGCTCTTATGCACTTTGAAAATTTTTTTTGATTGTTTTTAGATTTTTGTGATATCGATCACTGTTCGCTATCTTCACGTTGTTATGAAGAAGGAATATTTACCGATCCTAAGTAATTGTGATTTTACCCGTGATTAACTCTCCACCATTCCGTGATGTACATTATCACAATCAAAGTGCGTTGTAACAGAGGATGTATGCTCTTATCAAATTGCCATGACATTTGATATTCTTGAGAAATCCCCTTCCCGCGAACTCAATAACATTATTTCCTCATTTATTGCTCGGAAATTTTTGAATACTTATATCTATATAACCAAATATTCTTAGATTTATTTCGAGATAATAGAAGGACAGAGAGCTTTACACTTCCGTAGCTCCCACTCGTCCATGATTAAAATATACTAGATGATTTCTGATGATTTAAATTCTTCCTTATTATTGTTTCATCTGAAATCTGTTTTCCTTTTTCTTCGTCATACGATTTGCATATTATTAACTTTACATGACAGCCTACGATCTCAATACGATCAGCACACGAGTAACCGCATATTATTGAAAGGAATAAAAATGGCAAAAACTAAGTAATCAAATTTGCCTTTTACAAAATATTATTCTTAATGACAAATTCGACAATTCCTTATATCGAATTCATAAATATATTTTGATATGTCAAATTTGGCTTCCGTAAAAATGCAATAGTACAATTGAGATATTTAAGTTACATACATTGATTAAAAATGTAATATTCTCTTTAATAAAAGTTTGAAAAAACAAGCAGATAAAATAGTGAAAAAAATATTAGTCTAAATTTACAATGTTTGATTATTTTCTGTTAGTTTAGAGTAACAGTTTTTTATTCATGTTTGTTTATGTTTATTGAAACATAATAATATAAAATATAAATAAATTTTCTGTATGATTTGTAACTTCCTTCGATTTAAGGGAAGGATAGGAAAACATATCTACAAATAATCGAAATAAAATTGACTAAAAATTCATTTAAAACCGATTTAAAAAAAAAGAAAAGAATAGAAATTATCTTACCATAGGCATTTGCTATATTTCCGATCAATATTAATTCGCCCAGAAAATAAAACAACATAGCTCAGTTGTCCATGTAAAGTGATAAGGAATAGCAAAAAACAGGAAGCAAAATCAAGACATTTAAAGTATTTTCCTTAGTGGATGAGGCAGTAAGGTTAAAAAAAATCGTAGTTATTTCCGAATTCATTTGAGACCTAAAAAAAAAAAAAAAAAATATCGAAAGAAAGGTACATTCCATTATTTAAAATAGTAACGCACTTTTTGATTGTAAACAATTTAGAATTTTTTTTAAATATTTTTTTCTTTTCATTGCGTTTATAAGATTTTCTCTTTTCCCCTATCATGTAAAGGAGCACACGGCTAATATGACCAGTCGGCAGGGGATGTCCACTCCTCCATGGTACCTGATCCCACTTCTAATGTTTTTGGGGCCCTTGTTGCTTTGCTCCTATTTTGTATTGCATTATGGACTTTTGATCTTGAATACTCTTCGTTATCTCCACATGTATCAGTTGTTTAATAGATAGAGGATATTGAATGTATTCTAGTTGGATGTAGAATTCATTTTACTAGTGCAACTTATTTTTTTAAAGAAATATATGCCATTGTTGTACAAAGATAAATACAATTTTATTAAGAGTGTTAAATAATGTTTCAATGCTGTGTAGACGGATACTTTAGTACATGTACTTTGTAAGTTATTTGAACGAGTATTATGTAAAGTCCATATGAGGTACATTTTTATCAACAACATATGAGTATTATACATTCTGAAAATGGAATCCATTAATTTCCCATCTTTAGATTTCCATCAATGTCTTCTAAAGCTAGGCAAGCTCAAAGCTCACGACAGCTTGTTTTTGCTAAATTTAAACAAATCAGATAAAACACATTTATAGAGATGAACTTTGTCGTTTATTTAACTAACGTTATAATTAAAAACAATTGAACATACAAAAAGGGGGTCAGAATCACAAGCTCTAGTTGTTAGTTACTTATATTAAAATATAATAATGTACGATCCCCCGAAAAACGACTAGAAAGAGTACATATAAAACAAGACTAACAAAACATCACAAAAAATTAGCAAAAAGATAGCATATCAAAAACAAATGGGCCACAGGATGTGATATGCAAGTCAAAACAGTGCAAGATGTGACATGCAGATGCCATCCTTGATCCCTATATTAATCAGTATTGTAAGCATATTGTTATATCATTATCACGTGTATACACTACGAAACTGAAGTACATTTGTGAGTGGGGCGAGAGCAACCTTCTCCTTAAGTTTATTGTCCCTCTTATTGAAAATTTTTTAGTTCCACCTTCAGCTGTATTCTGAAATTGTAAATCTTTTAATTATTTTGACATTTGTAATAAATGCTCTCTTAACACACGCTTTATTTTTTTGATTTGCTGCAGAACAGAGCTGTAAATGTGCTTCAGGTTCGTATGAGCCTTACTTAAACATAATAATAAATGTTAGACATTCTTTCGTAAAGATTTTTTTTAGGAACGTATTTTTCAAATGTACAACAAATGGATGATTTTGAGGCAGTCTAACAAATAAAATATCCTATGTTTTATTATATATATGTGCAGGATAAAGGTACAAATTAAAAGAAAACAATAAGGAAAATTTAACGTACACTACAATGAACTTTAATGAACAGAGCATGATGGAAAAACAAATCATATATATGTAATTTCACTGAGGAAGAAAGAATCATCCAGTATTCCAGTGGCTGACTCTATTTTTTAAAAGCTAATCCTTTTTCGCAACAAACATCACAATTAAAATGTTGCGTCTTTTTTGCAGAATTTAAGGTTCTATTAAACATGCGTGATAGTTTCAATGAAATTTAAAAAAAAAGGTTCTTCTAGCCAGAATTTAGAGCAATGGAAAGTATATTCATCATATTGAAGATATAACAAATGGTATGTGGGCAAATAAAACTAAAGCTACATATCATATTTTCCTATTTACCCCAAAGTCGACTTTCCCCATTATTTGTTATTCATTCATAAAAGGACTGCAATTGGATTTAACCTGGGTTGTCTGCTTGCCAATCCAATATTGCCTTCACATTATATTGATCAGCTAAATTTAACAAATTGCTCGACTGCCCCCCTCCCCCCCCAACACCACCACCACCACACACGCATATTTCATCATCACCACCAACATCACCGCTTCAAATTTAGAAATGTGAATATCTAGATTTTCGATTGATCAAATTTTCAAAGAAAAATATATAAATTAAGTTTTCTTTAGAAGATCAGTTTCTATAAGCTCTGTAAATATATATCGAAGAAAAATATTAGTAGGCACAAAAGTTGAAAAGAAATCAATTATTTTTAATTTTCTTACTCGTAGCGTCTATAGTACTAACGTCGCTCGAGAAGGAGCCTGCACACAGTTAGAAGTCTAGTTTTATTAATTCTAAGAAGTCACCAATTCAAATGTTTAGCTGTTCTCTCATAGAATTCGCGTCAAAATTTTATTTTTTTTACTCAGGAAATTGTCCATCTTGCGGTGCTGGAAAGAAATTTTCCAAAAAAGGAAAAAAAAATTAATTTTAAGACCTTCATTCTTGAAAATTTCATTGAAATCTAGTGTATGGGTACTATTCTTTCTTGAGACATTTATATTAATTATAATTATACACGATGAATTCAATATATTCTACAGTAATATAACAACATTATACATGTTCATGAACAACACATCAAATGCTAATTGAATGTTACAGTCATACAATATTGTTGGTCTCATATAATTTTTTGTCTTAAATTCTAAATGTTGAAGTATTGGAGACATCCTTATATTTAAAGGTAAATGGTTCCACAATTCTGAACTTAAATACCGAAAAAAAAATCTTAAAATATTTAAGTTGTGTTTCTTGGAAAACACAAGTCAAATTGAGATTCAAACCTTTAAACGGTAGAAATAAGTTGATTGATATTTTCTTTTATATTTATTAAAGAAAACTCACAATAAATTCAAATGTAAGCACATAACACTTCATGTTAATTAGGTCCATGTGCAAACTCATATACTATCACTTCACGCTAAAGAGCATCGTCATAAATTGAATTTCGATCTAGTTCTTCGTAAACTTCACTATCTCCAGCATCATCAATGATCTTTGGATCAGCAGTTATAGGTTTCGTTGACAATTGTATTCTAAAGTTTTCTTGGTTCTTCTTTCTTTTGCAACCATTTCTACTACATCTCCTAATATGTGGGATTTTTTAAACCAATAAGAAAAAAATAAGAAATGTTGGTTGATGACATTATCCAAAAAAAGAGACCTAAGCAAGTATGACATTAAATGGAACATTTAAAAACAAACTCACCAAAGTATTAAAGCGAGGTTTAAGCCTACACTTATGGAAAAAGACGTTGTCACTCCAAACAGAAAGGTTTTGGATTGTATCCATGTAATATAATCTGGAGATCCTCTTATGACTGTAATAAAGCAAACATGTGCATTTCCAGTCAAAATGATGTATTCAAAAGACAAAAGAATTGACCTATAGGAGAGAACAATTTTCCGGAAAAAAAGCGACATTTAAAAATTTATCTTTATTTGTTGTTTTGTAACGGATATATGTATAAATTTTTCAAATTTATAATTACATGTAATACCAAAAAGTTATTATTTACAACTTTACAATAAACCTCGAAAGTTGGTCGGAAAATCATTTTGTCCGTTAAAGCGTTGATTTTTGCATGAAATTTGGCCAAGAAATCATTCAGGGCAGGCATGCACCTAAATCAAATTGTGATATTATGATAGGTTTATATGTAAGGAATAATTTAAGATAGGATTTTTTAGGGACACCCCTGCCCTACGGTCGAAATTCACAAACAACCTACAAAAAAATAAGGAAACCTGATTTTGACAATCTTCTTCTAATTTATACCTTTTAATATTATATTCAGACTAGCTCAGTTGATATATACGCTGACTTTCACACCGTGCAGCCCCGTGGGGATCCGTGTTAGAATAGGTCATCAGTACCCCCTTGCTTGTCGTAAAAGGCGACTAAATGGGACGGTCCTTCGGATGATACCGTATAAACCGAGGCCCCGCGTCACAGCAGGCGTGGCATGATAAAGATCCCTCCCTGCTCAAAGGCTGTAAGTGTCGAGCAAAGGCCTAAATTTGCAGCCCTTCACCGGCAACGGTGACGTCTCTATATCAGTGAAATATTCTGGAGAGGGACGTTAAACGGTATGCAATCAATCAATCAATCAATCAATCAATCACACCGTGCAAACTTACCGGTATATTTTAAAAGTAGGGGGTTCGAATTCATCTGGTACCACACTTTCTAAAGTTTTAGATTTTCGCCTTTTCAAAGACTATTTTTTATAGACTTGTGTATTTTCCTTCAATTATCTATCCTTTATGCATGCCCATTCTTGATATATAAGAAACACTAAAGAGATATCGAACCGTAAAAATCAAATGTACAGTTGTCAGTCAAGCGGAACAAGCCTCAGTTTAAGCACACTTTCTCCAAGGACAAGATCTAGTATAACTCACTCTGTGTTACTCAATACAGGTATTCTTGGCAGCATTGAGCTGCGATGAATGTCAATTGTTAATATTCCGTAGAATTTAATTAAATTTATTTTGGCTACATATATCAGTAACTGTACTCCCTCGGCTTTGATTTAGGCCTATATAATTTGCACATATTGATGGCATGTTTTATTATATTCACGGATAAAATAGCCTAGACATAAAGAATAGAATTTCAGAGGCAGTAAACATTACCATTATGCAGACTGAGAACTTAAAACAAATATCATTTACTAGTATTACATTTTGAGATAACAAACTCAGGAAATCATTGGAAGGGTTTCTCCTACATCTACTAGCAGAAAAAAAAGATTTATAAGTGAAATTTACATATAAATTAAATAAAAATGAAACGATTCGCACTGTGCGAAAATAAGACCCTACTGTGTGCATTTAATTTTCCAATTTCGTAGTATAGATTTGAAATTGTGAGTTGAAATATATGATTGCCATTTGATTAAGAATTTTCTTGACGATTTACTAGTATTATCATTGGAAAACCTTACGAAATAATTGAAAATCGCTCTGATAAGTGTATTTTTTAACCTGAGGTAAGGCAAAATAATCAAGGAAATATATAAATATTATATAGATGTGTTTGCAGATATATTAAAAAAAGATGGAAACATCGTTCCTCATGTAAGCAAATGAAATTTAAACCTTTTTAAGAAAAAGTTTCCATTAAATTACTCACTAGTGAGCTCTAATTTTCGCCGAAAAGTATATATTTTTATTTTAACACCCCCTCCTTTAGCCACCTTTTTTTCTGTTGAAAATCATGAAAGTCTTTCAGAATGGCCATGGAACACATTTATTATAGAACATTTTTTCAAAAGAAACAGGCTATAGTAATATCATGTTTACTGCCAATTTTATTTATAAAACCGGTTCTACCCTATAACCTTTAAATAAATCAACCTAAACCACGTGTCTTGAATTTCAATCACAATAACATTAGTAGGGGTGGGTGTATGCGCCTTTATCGCAGACGCAATTATCATATAACCTTTAATTTTGAAATTGCAACCCTTGCTTCTATTGCAAGAGTTATCGGCCATTTTACGGATCTTTAACCCAATCAAAATCTTTGTTTTTGTTGAACCATTTTTGTTTGCTTGGTAGTGCGGTGAAAAAAACCTGTTTGTGCAAATGGGAACCTGTGTAAATGTAGCCTAAAATTAATTATTGGTCAATTTAGAAGGAAAGAATAATCGATGCCTGTGATTTATATTCTAGAAATTATCTTCATGGAACCTTTTTAGGCGTTATAAGGTATCACAGAATATCTATTATTTATCGTAGATTGTTTTTCAGTTCTTAAATTGTACAACAGATGAATTGTATTAGATATGCCATATGCATGTAGCTGGTTATTTTAAAAGTTTGCTATAGCTAATTTTGGCTTTTTGCGTTTTAGTGATAGTTATAGCCCGATCGGATTTTAATTGCTAAAATGTTCCATGTGCAAACAGCTGCAACTTTGTTTCTGCTTAAATAAATTGAGCCATAATAATTAGCAAACTTTTGAGCAGGCAAAACGCCAAAGTTTACACTTTCCAAGAAAACACGTTATACGGTAGATTCTATGTCATAAAATTAATATTATAATATTTGATACCATTGCATTGACCGGATATTGCGTCACATGTTTCAATAAATGGGCAGCTGCTACAATTTCCCTCACAATTGTATCCAAAGCGTCCATCCGGGCATTCTAGAAGTAAGACTCCATTATCAAGAGATATCTTTATGTGTAACATTTGTATTTTATATGTTGTACAGTGAATCAGAAGGACTATAGGCCTTCTCTACATCTGTCCGTCATTTTGTCTGTCAGTCCATCCGGCCGTCTATAGGTAGCTGTCCCTTTGTTTGTCTGTCAAACAGTCCGTATTGCGCACTTTTTTCTAAACCTTGCAGATATGTAGCTCATATTTGATACCCGGATATGTCTTTACCTTGATTTATTATAGATCAAGTGTGCATTTTGTCTGTTTTAATGATTTTTGAATGTTGGCATTTCAAATTTTAATCGGAATCAAGTTTAAACTTAACATATGCTTATAGACGACTAATGCAAAACTCTCACAATGCTTGTTATCATCAAGGTTGGAAAATTATTGATAATAAAAATTACAAATACTTCACGTAACATGAATTTAAGTATTTCAAGATAGTTTTGAATACAGATCGGCACATTCTTTTTAAGCTCACGTGGTTTTTCACAAAAATATTGGTAACATTTTTCTTGTAGGGTGAATTCACCATGCATCGGATACCCTTGTACTTCAACAAGTTCTAGCGATATCGCTACCGACGGAAAATTATCAAAATGGAGTTTAACATTTAGTTTGTGATTAAAATAACAATTTAGGACACAATTATATGCCGTTTATTGAGAAAATATCGCCAAAAATCGAGTTTTTAGTAAAAACTGAAAATTCACCATGGATCGGACATTGTTCACCATGCATCGGACAGACGGTATGGATACCGGGAAAATATCATACCTTTATCACAGTGCTTTAAAATCCTTGATATGGATATATTTTCATCTTTTATCTCAGAAATAACCCTCAACTTTAATTTAATCGACGATATTATTGCACAAATTTAGAACGATTCTCGAGACCTCACTCTGCCTTAGAAATGCTTTAAAATGCTTATAATGCCGTAATTCGCGCCTTTTTTCTCATGGTTTATCATACTCTGGTTTGTAGAAATAAATTGAGTAAAATTCCAGACGTCATATATCAATAACTTGTATTTTGACTGAAAATATAGAGTTTTTATTTTTTTTTCCGCAAAAAACAGCTGTCAGCTCGGTTCTGCATGAAAATGGTAGTGCTTACCTTTGCATCGAAAAGTGTCCGATGCATGGTTAATTTGTGTCCGATGTACGGTGAAAATAGCATACTAGTAATAACCAGCTCTAATAAGAATTAAACAAACATTGAAGTGAAATTTAATTATAATTTATGTAAAATTACCAATCCCTGACAAAATTCACCAAAGTCCGACTCGTTCCGTGGAAGTCGAATTTAAAAGAACAATAACTCTAAAAATAGCAAAATCATAAATTTCGGGTTATTCCCCTTTGATGATGTAAAATATGACGTAACTTCAAGGCCATTTGCGGGGTATTTTTATCACAACATAATAAACACAATCGGTATCATTAAAAAAATTTAAATCTTCGTCTTTATGACAGAAACAAACAAATACACAGAACTCTTAAGTTGAAAGAGAGTTTATTGCCTAAAGTTGTCCGAAGCAAGGTATGTGTCCGATGCATGGTGAACTCACCCTAATTGAAATTAATATTTCAGTACGATAATATAATTCGAAGAAGTATTACATATCTCATGTCATTGATACACGTCCTTTAAAATGATTATCTTGATTTTTAAAATTGGCAAGAAACCAAAACAGCCACTGGGAATCTTTTTTAATTCATCACTTCATCTACATACGGAGTTAATATATCTCAGTTGATCCGATACGCAAGAGCATGCTCTACGTATGAACATTTTCTTAAACGAGGTAAATTATTGACTAACAAGTTGATACAAGAAGAATACCAGCAGCCTCGTTTAAAGTCCTCATTTCTTAAGTTCTATGGTCGATACAATGATCCAGTCAAATGCTGAATAGCGTTTTACTATTTATATGTCCATTATTTAAACACCGAAATGGCGCCGGATTTTAACAATTATTTCCTGATCATAACAAGGAGCACAGGGCGGGTGTGACCGGTCGGCAGGGGAGGCTCACTCCTTCATGGCACCTGATACCACCTCTGATGCATTGGGCGTCCGTGTTTTCTCTGCTCCTAATTTGCATTCTTTTATGGACTTTGAAATTGAACAATATTAGTTATAGCTAAATCTTCCATTAAATGTACATGTATATCTAAGTCTGACCCAGTATTATACACGTGTATGTAATTTGTATTTTTTTTTTAATTAAAAACAAAATTAGAATTAAAATAAGTCGAAATGTCACACACCCCTTATAGAATATATTTTGTTGCCTCGTTATTCCATATAGCATTGTAACGTTTATAAAGTATAGTAATATACGCCATATGTGACGTTAATATGCGAAAAGCCATTGATTTTAAAAAGTGCGAAAAGCTGTAATATTTGCTGCTCTTCTGGGAAAATATTTCTCTGTCCTTGGGAATATGACTTTTTCATAGTGTAACCTAGCGAATGTCATTTAGATTTAAAGAAAACAATTATATGTATCTTAGACATTGTTTGGTTGTGTACAATTATACTTTGTATAATTGATAAGACAGACATTCTGAGAGTATTGCAATACTAGTCCCCTACAGGCAAGTTAAACAAATAACCGAAAAAAATGAAAATGCCATTATACTGGGGAAAAAAAACAATTAAAGCAAAAGAGGCAAATTTATTCTTAAACTTGTCATTGCAAAGTCACCTTCATAAAATCATTTCAATATCTGCAAGTGTTTAAAAAAAATAATAATAAAAAATACGAGAAACCTTTAAAAATTGAAAAGGTCAAAATTCCGTCAAATATCAATTAAAACCTGACCTATAACTTATAATGATAAATATATATACCAAAGACCAGCCAAATATCTGAAAGCGATTGAAGAAAGAAGAAAGAAGACAAGAAGAAAGAAATCAGAAGTAAAACTAGACAGACAAAAGGAAACCTAGAGTCCCCCAGGTTTCACAGGTATAGACTAAAAAATATTGCATATAAACATCTGTTCAGCACTGTGTCAAACTCTAAATTAGAGACCCTTAACCGTGCTATTACACCTCAAAAACGAACCGAACCGTTCCGTACACAAAGCGTACCGTACCGTCCACAAAGCGTACCGTTCCGTTCTTTGGTTAATTATTCAAACCACGCCCCCAATGATTTTCAAACCGCGCAATGACCAAATAAGTTATTTTGGTTTATTTCTCACTATGGCGCCTGTGAAAGGAGGACGGAGGTTGTGTCTGGCTGTTCGAAACAACATTATCAAGTATCATGCATCCGGGCTTTCAATTGTTAAAATAAGGAAACTACTCGAAACAAACTTCAAAACACTTACGCAGAGTTTGAGACGATTTCTTATTTGCTATAAATTAGGTCAACTTGTTGTGTTTGTGGTCAAAGGTAAAGTACAGGCCACGAGTTTTTCCTGCAAAACACGTACGGGACACAGTGGACCTCGAACAATGTTGGCGTCATTTTCTTCTTATACGCAAATTAAATCAACTTCCTTTTGAAATATTAATTTTACTTAAATATTCGTAATTTAACTATACAGATATTTAAACTTATATTATAAGATGCCCCAAAATTCAATATAATGGTGCTCGTACCTGGGAAAAAAAACCCTCTTTGAATGTGTACATGTACATTCATGTTTCATAATCCTATTAGATATAAACATAGGTTCAATAGACTATAGAACATGTAACACTAAGATTTTTTTTTGAATTTATTCCCTGGTTGTCTCTACTTTCGATTTTAATTTTTTTTTCATTTAAATTGTTGAATCTAATAAGATACATGATCGTTTTTGCCTTAAGTATGCATTCATATGTAGTACATATCAGATGCGTCATTTTACTAATGAATTATTTTGTAAGAATTTTAAAACATAATTATATAATCTGTCTAGAATACAATAAAAAAAACCGTTACGGTATTAGACTCGCACATTAATGCTGCTCAGATTACTACTAGGCGTATCATTGGTGCAGTAAGACTTCGAAAATCTGTAATCATGTCAAAATATGGAGTAAATATAACATGCGGTAAGCAATGAAGATTTCTACTGAACAGGCAGAGATAATTATCTGACTCAACTGACACGCTGCATACAAAGACCGCCAGCCGAATTTCTAGCAAATTAAATGTGCAAATTTCAGTACAAATATTACCTCATTCTGAGATATATCTTATGAAAAATGAAGAAAAAAAGGTTTGCGAAAAAATAATGATATTATAAGGGTTGTTACACTGTACCTCCATCCTCTTTTTAGAAAGCAATACGAATTAGCTGATTAAAAGTTCTTTAGAAAACTGCAAAATGGTTAGTTGGAGCAATAAAAAAATAATCTAAAGAAAATGTATCAAAAATGTGTCTAAAAAGCAGATAATTTACAAACTAAACTGAAAATTAAAAAAATACCAATCGTCTTTCAAGTCATATAATATTTGCCCCCCCCCCCCCCCTCCTCTAGAAGGCAATACTTATTTGCTACTTAAAACTCATCAAAAGTTATTGTGGGTTTTTTTTTAAGGAAAATTATAATTTAGGAATAAATGCTTATTTATTATCTGAAAAAGGAATATTTAGGATGTAAATTTGTAATCAATGTTGTGGTGAAACCTGGAAAAGAGTTTCGGTGGATGTCAGTTGAGTGAGTCAATATACACTTGATGTAGTCAGAACTGAATAATTTGAAAGGTGTGAAAAACAAACGGCTCCCCCGCCCCTCCGGCTGTGACCCAACATATTTTAAACAGTTGCGAACTCTGAACTGATCATGACACTCCTTCAAATCACAAGAGAAATTCTTCCCTCGTAAACAGACTTTTAGGGTGACCTAGCGGCATACAATTTTGATTGACAGGTGATGCACGAGGATTTCATGCGTACAGCATGCATGTAGAGAAAACGAATTGATTGCACAAAAGTTGTACATGGGTTGAGTATGAACCAAAGTATCGAAATTAAATAGCATCATAGACTGATTACTTGTGACTTTAGCGATGTAAATAAAACGAAAATGAGAGTAAATACAAGTTGTTTTTTTATTACTGATTATGCAACAAGGGTTCTCTCTCTCTCTCTCTCTCTCTCTCTCTCTCTCTCTCTCTCTCTCTCTCTCTCTCTCATTCACGACATTGTATTCACACACTTTACAAGAAAAGAATAACTTAATAAAATTAAAAACAACAAAAAAAAAATCATTTAAATAAATACTTACACTGAAAGGAATATTGAAATCATAAATACTACATGTAGTCTGTGAACAGAATGTTTTCTCTTACGAGAAATATTGTAATGATTTCGTGTTTCCGCTGCTGATTTTCCGATTTAGAAATTGTAAGATTTATACATGTATCAGAAAAAAGGGAACAAAAAACTGAAAATCTACTATTCCCTTTAAGTTATTGGGTTTTTTTAAAATTATTTTTCTTTATATTTTTCTTTATTTATTTATTTCGTTTATTGATATTTCTCTTCTGATGCAATCGTTTAAAAGATAGATCTACGATTTAAAAAAAAAATAAAATAAAAAACAACATTTCTGATTACTAACTGAAGAATAATCATATTTTTTTTATAGATCAAGCAATTAAAATAAAATTTGTATACGTGCGTAGTGTTAAATACATGTATATAAAGTGAAAAATATTTCAGATAATTTTTTTTCCTTTTTAAAATGAAGCCTCAGCAAACGTAAAAAGAGTACTAAAAAATTTACAAGTTCTATTTTTCAATACAAATCTTTACATAATGCCAAAGACATCGGTGGAAGAATGTTTTTTCTGCCTTTCTTTATTTCATTTTTCCTCCATCACTGCTGCATTATAAATTTATGTTTAAACTGAAACCGAGATATTAATTTGTTAATAACGGAAATATACCTGCATTTAGTACTTCAGAGGGCATTAAAATGAACTAAATTTTAGTAGCCAATCAAGAAATAAAGCTAACTGGCTCCGCCTACTTCATTTGCATACCGTTCCCCAAAGCGTACCGTTCACAAAACGAACTGTTTCGTGCAAGAAACAAAACGTAACGTCCACAAAGTGTACCGTTCCGTGCACAAAGCGTACCGTACTGTTCACAAAACGAACTGTTCCGTGCACAAAGCGTACCGAACCGTACCGTTTAACTGGTGTCGTAGCACGGTTTAGGGTCTATATGATAAAGTATCCACAGCCTTAAATTTCGTTGTCTAAATATATAGAAATATCTTCTGCAATTATTTTGTTATATTTCATTAAAAAATATTTGTAGAATTAAGTCTTTTTTCTCATGTGAATGAGCCATATTTTGCTACCTTGTGTACAAGTGTCTCCATGGTAACCTTTATCACAACCATTCAAGCATGTCCCATTAATGTGATGACATTGTTTATTATCAAGACAGACCCCGCATGACTGAGCACAGTTTAATCCAAATTTACCTCCGTCGCATTCTAAAGAAATAAAAAGTTTTTATGGCTAATTATAAGTCTAATATGTTTGGTAATTTGCAAATAACGTACCTTTTTAATGCAATTTAGAAGTCTAATATTTTTTTTCGTTATGTACGTTATTGTTCAACTTTCAGAATTTATTAATTTCGAAGAAAAACACTAAAAATAAGTCATTTTGGTTCATGTAAAAATGTTTCTGTGAAAGAAGGGTTCAAATAAAATATAACTTAAGTCCATGTATACGAATTTTATCATATTTTGTATTTTTAGTTTAGTTTTATTTTATTTTGAATTTTCTGTAAAATACTCTCATTTTTTTTTTAAATATGTAATATATAAAACAATTTATTACTCTTGTCACATTCTATATCCTTCCACCCTGGCTGACACCCATTTTGACATTGTCCTGTTTTCCTGTCACATCTTGTCCGCTCTCCACAATTGACGTCACACATGTCTAGGTAGTTGTATCCGTACCACCCATCAGAACATACTAAGAAAAAAATGAAGAGAGTCCTTTAAAAAGTAGCAAAGGTTATGTAGATTTTAAATTTTTCCTTAGTTTCTTTCCACTTTTGTAAGATCATCAGTTGGTCGATATTATTTTTAAATGAATTGGTAGGTTGACGATACGTAGGTTGATGGATATGAAAAAAAGACAATATACTGATTTTTACTGTAGATAAGTGATTGATTAACCTTGTGTACATCTGTCTCCATAGTAACCTCTATCGCATCCATTCAAGCATGACCCATTAATGTGATGACATTGTTCTTTATCAAGACAAGACCCGCATGAGTGAGCACAGTTTTGTCCGAATTTACCTCCGTCACAAACTGTAGATAGAATACAAAATTAATATACCCCATATCACTTATATAACAATTATTTGATTACAAAATTGGAATTAAATATGTTCGACAGTCCTACAATATATGTTCATGGATTTTTTTTTCCATTAAGAGGATATTGGTACTGCATGACGAATCTGTATTACTGAAGATCACAAAATTTTCACGACAACTTATTTTTGAGAGATAGTCATTGACTCTTGATAAGCGATACAAAATTTTCACGAATTATGGTACTTGCTTTATATATTAAACTATTATACGCGAGAACTTATTTTTCGCGAGCACACTGTCTCTCGTAATTACGCGAAAATAAAGTTCTCGCGAATTAAAAGTGATTTATAGTAACCAAATCTGTACTAAATTATGAAGGCGAAAAGAAAATTAAATGCAACATGTACATATAATTTGCTATATTGTCTTGCAGGGATAAAAGGAAAATCTGTAAATATTTGAATAGAAAGTAAAGATAATGGCCTAAAAATAAAAAAAAAACCTCATACTTTCATAGATCTAACCATGTTAACGACATTTTTTTTGCAAACATGTTAATTGATTGTTTTGATAACAGTACTCAATTATTTATATAAATGATAATAGTTTAGTCAGTATCCTGTTCCTTCCTTGATTATGCTCTTCGCTTATGAAATGAATCGGAAATCACTCGGTGTTATACTTAAACCAAACTATGAAGGAGACTGCAAGCAATCCAGTAATACATGCGAGTTCTTTTAGATGTTTCGCTGAATCGGGTGAAATTGAAAATTCTTTGACGTAACAGATATAGTTATGATATACCTTTACTTTTATACCGTATAAAAACCTAATCATTAGGTAGTTATAATCATAACAAAAAATAAGATTTTAGGACTTTTATTAAAGCACAAGTCATTAATTTATGTATTCTCTCTCTCTCTCTCTCTCTCTCTCTCTCTCTCTCTCTCTCTCTCTCTCTCTCTCTCTCTTACGAAACCATCTTTTCAGGATTCGCTTGTATTTACGTACATTTTTCACATCGTGAGCCTCTGTGCCCGGCAATACATCCAAAACAAGTTCCGTCTACAATGTTACAGCTTCCTTCACGACAAGTCTGTGGACACGGGAATGTGCAATTTTCTCCGTAAATAACAAAGGAAGGGCATCCTATATTGAATATTAAAATATTTTAAATGACCATATATATATTTTCAATATATTTTTTCATTTAGCTCTACGTTGAGCCAAAGCTGGGGGATAAAAACGCATAACGAGTTAAATATATCCAAACACAAATCATTGGGGATTTCTATATTTCTCCTGAAATACCGTTGGTGGAAATATTAGCGATACGTATTTAGCGATTTGTTCTTAGAAATTGGTATTTTATTTTTATCAAGATGTAATTTTAGCGACTTTTATAAGCTCACTATACATGTATAAACTTTAACAAATAAAGTGCAATTAATTTTTTCCGATATTCAATGTTAGCGATCTTTGAATCCTCGCTAATAATGCCAAAATTAAATCCTCGCTAACATTTCTGCGTATTTGCAAAAACAAATACGAATGTTTAAAACTTTATATAGATCTAGAATAACTCAATGAATCGATTTGAGATCTGGTGGTGAGATAAGATAACAACTGAAGATGTTTGTTTCATTGCATTGGTTGACAATGGTTTTCCATGGCGTGACAATTTCAACTGTTACCCTCTAAAACAGGCACCATTTATATAGTACAACGTAAAGTATTTATTGGTATTCCTTATACAGAATAAGCTATGCATTCTATAATCCCTTACCATAGACCTGGACTTCACAGAGTTCATTGAATGCGTATGTAGAATATCCTTCAGGGTAGGTAACTCCTGGGAGTCTCTCATTGTAATAGATGACGTACCGTCCATGCTTTATACATTCTATTGTAATATTACTCGGTATCGTTTCTCTAGTGTAGTGTGTGTCTTTAAAACATAGATAACCGTCATCTTTGTTGGTGGTGTTCGATATAAAAAGCGAAAATCCAAGGAATCGGCTTGTGTATCCATTGTCAGGGCCTTATGGAATATAATTAACTTTAAAATGTAAAATAGAAACTTACAGGAATATGCGTTCACAGACTGTGATTAAAAAAAATATCAAAAACATTTACGTAGTATTAAATGTTCACTTAATTGTTAAAAATCAAATAAGTAAAAAGTACGAAAATAAACGGCATGCTCCCATATTCAATGTTTGTTGGCTGTTAAAATTTTAGTTAATTCTGATTTTAATTAAGGTCAAGATCTAGTAAATAAATTTAGGCTAATTTTTTGGGTACTAGATCCATTATGATATCATAATCAATTTCAACTTTCTTTATCCGTAAATAATGGCGTTAGCAGAATTAAATAGAAAATAGGATATTTTCATGACATTTAATTTAAAATCATATGAAAAGTATATTATATATATAAATTAAAATTTATCTTGATTTAAAGAAGAGGCAATGAACATTCTAATTATCTTAAATTTTCTGAGAGACTGTAGACAATCTGGATACATTTCCTTTGTTCAATATGAAAAAAAAACTCCCATATTCATGCCTGGTTTTCTTAATTTTTTATTGAAAATGACATTTTAAAATACAGTTTTTTTTTCATTTTGTTTGTCTACAAATTATGCCAAGAAACACCTTATTTGACCAAGCTAAAGTTGTAAAGCATCATTAAAGGAATTTGTATCTCAAATTTGGTAAATATGTAGGCACTTTTCATTTACAAGATATTGGTCTTAACATAATGCTGATGATAGACTATTGAAAAAGTAGGTCATAAAAGAATTAGAGGATATTCAATGTTTTTAGTTGAATATGAAATTTATTGGAATGGGAATGGATTTTTTGAAATTTTCTTTTATATTTTTTACGAGTGCGAAACAGTAACAAAAAATCCTGTCTCACGATTGAAATTAATTCCATATTCAACTATAAAACATTGCATTTTCCTTTTTTTTTTAATTTTCTTTGTTTTTTTTCCCTCTACTCTGTCTTTTTCCAATGCTGTCATAGGCTACATGACGTCAAAGTTGAACACTTGAGACGTCAAAGCTAGGTGTTGTGAGATTGAAAGCAATGTAAACAAGGATTTCAACACCATATTTCTCAAATCTTTGGCAGTTGTATTCGATGTTTCTTGTTCATTTTCTAACGGAGAAAGGAGTTTTTTTTGTTTTACAAGATACAAGAATCTTTGTTTTTGGAAGAAACATCGAGAGTTTGATATTTGTCAAACTGAGAAAGAACATCATTTAGATATCTTTTCAAACTATAACAGAATACCATTTTTATTCAATGGATAAATTACAGTATTTCACTGGTAAAAATATAATTCAAAAAAATCTATAAAATACATGAACGTTTCGAAATATAACATAGTTAAAAACAGCGGTTATCTGCTAATGAAATAAGTTAATGATTTTTTTAAAGAGTAGTCTTTAGTTTGATTTTTATAAAAATTAATATGGAAAAATGTTTTGTTTTCTATATTGTTACAATAAACTACAATACTGTACCCCATGGAAGGTTGTCCGTCCTGTAATAGATAGTTATATGATGTATGTTAAGAACTTTTCCTAGATCCACCCGCCAGGTTGCAGTTCTTTTTTGATTACCAGATATTGTACATTGTCCACCAGAATTAGACCGGTCTGAAAACAATCCATCCACGGCTTTATCCGCCGGATAATTATATAGTAGTAAATCTAAATAAGTGGGCCAGTCGTTATACATATAAGGATACTGCTGCCATGTTGGTTTCCGTAAAGCAAGATTTTCTTTAAAAAAAGAAAAAACGTTCATATTCATGTGGAAACATGTACAAGCATTTGTAAATATTCCAATGCTCCTGGCATGTGTTTTCCTCCAAAGCAAGATTGTCTTTAAAAATAAAACATATTCATGTTCAAGTGGATACGTATACCAGTATTTGTATATAATTATACCGTGTTCTTTCCATGTTGGTTTTCTGAAAGCAAGATTATCATAGGAAAAAAAGAAAATGAAATAAATCTGAAAGTTTCTTCTAGATTTTTCAGGATAATAAAAAGAAGGAAATTCATAATTTGTATTTTTATACAATGAGCCTTTTAAGATATTTCAGAAAAATAATACAGATCTTTGTTTATTGCTTATTCATGTTAATTTTTATTCTGCATCTTATATGCACAGTAACTGTTTATTTTGTTACAAAATGGACTTATAAATTTGCAATAAGAGCAAAACATATTTAGATAATGTGTTTGTTTGATACTGAAAATTGAATGCAGAAAAAAAGTCTGAAGATCTTAGCTATTGACCTACGTAATAACAACTTTTATAAATGAAAAAATACAACGGAAATACTATATCTTATTCCAATTTAGTTATTAGATAATACATGTACTACGTGTATAAAGCTTATGACAGTAAGGTGAATGTTTAAAAAAAGTACATGTAAAACGTATACAAAGACCAAAGTATCAAACGCCAAAGAAAAAGGTATTGACTGAGGTATTTTTGTATCAACAGCAGACCATTTTATAACTTTACTTAAGAACTAATTAAACCTGAAAATATGTAAAAGATATTTTTTTTAAAAATCTGATTACGAATTCCTGATATGGTAGTGTTCTGTTTCACAAAATGAAAACGGGAGGTTGGAATTCAATGGTCATTTTTCCCTTGACAAATTCGTTAATTTATGAGTTGAGAAATATCAGTTTCCTTTCTTGGAGTTGATTAAAACAGCATAATTACAAGAAAAAAAATGAAAAAAACGATGATTTCACTTTTCAAATTTCCTTAAAAGTATACGTATTTCAAGTTGCAATATAAGCAAAGCTCTTAGTGACAGAAGTAAAATATAGAATTGTTCGACAGACTTTTATGTGTAAAATAGCTGTTACCAAGGATATGTAACTCATTGATAAAAATGTTTAAAAGAAAAGCCAAAAAAAAAATGAAAGTCGTGCACTAAAAAGAAACGTAAAAAAATAAATAATCTTACCATAAGCCTCTGCTATTTTCCCAATCAATGAAATTTCACCGAGAAAATAAATTAAAGCAGTTCCACTTTTCATGTTTGATACGGAATAATATGTGTGCATAAAGTGTAATAAGATTTTGTTTAAGAAAACCCTTTTTTCTGAACGAAATCAGAAGGCAAAATATTCCCAGTTATCATCTACATTTTATGAGATTTTGTGTTGTAGATAGGAACATAAGGATATTAGCAATCATTACTGAAGAAATTTAGTCTTTAGCTACTTCAATATGTACTTCAATATATTTCCTTCTTTCTATTTCCCTAAGTGAACAGTTATTTTTAGAATAAAGTACGTCATATTTACTATATATTTCTCGTTTTATTGACACTCATTCCCTAACAAATAATAAATGCGCCAAGTTATGACAGGTTACTCTTTTGTTCAAATATTCCTAGTATGGTATTTAAATCTGGTTGCTATGTGAAAACCGATATTTTTATTTTCCCTGTTTTATTTCTTATTCATATCTTAGTAGGATATATGAAAATCTAGACTTTTAGAATTCGGACATTCCTATACTTGATTTTATCTTTAACTCAGCATTAACATAAATCGATGACGTAGAAACAATAAATAATGATAATTTCATTCATATAATAATCCTATATTTCAACATGATCTATAAATCAAGGGTACTGAAGTGCCTGCTACGTTTCCTTCATATTCAGATGCTTTACTGATTAATGACATAGTTCCAAACTAAAGTTATACCTTAATTGTACTACACACGGGTTGACTTCAGCTATTTAATTGTCAACTTTCCTTATTAATGTTTTAATATTGCATTTAAAGCTGCATATGGTGTTATGTCTCAAAATTATTCGACGCTTATAGGCGTGCACTCACTTCTTCTTAAGCTGGGGCAATCTACCGACAATTTAGTAATTTTGAATATAATGATTCAACCTCATCAAAAGTCAACATTCAGCAAATTTAACAGCTGCTATGGTTGATGTGATAGAAATCATATTTTTTATTGTCTTTTTTTATTTTTTTTTTTTTTGGAAAGGGGGGGGGTATTTTGTAACAACTATCGTTTGGCAGTAGTTTTAGAGACTATAACTTCTTACTATAATTTCTTGTGACACTGTTTTTAAACTAAAAATAACTGCGAGGTATTCCATCTTCCTAATCAACACATATAGCTCACGGCAAGCAAGATCAGTCGACAGGGGGATGCTTACTTCCCATAGGCATGTGATACCCCCTCTAATATGGTCCGTGTTTTAGTCCTATTGAAGACTTTTTTAATCTTGTTTTTTTTTTTGGTATTTTTTGTTGCATTATTTTTTTTGGATGGGGTCGTTTTTTTTTAATGAGATTTATAACTGACAATATTATATGTATAAATGCTGTCTAAACTTGTACAATTTGAAAATAACAACATTAACCTTTAATAAGAAGACACCTACACATCCTCACAATCAAATATATTGCAGAATATTGCAGAATTTAGTAATTGTTTTACATGTACCATGTCCCAGAATTGCTGCTTCAATAAGGTCGTTTAAAGCAATCGCTAATTAAACGCATTTAATTGATTTCCGAAAAACACAGGGGGTAGGTCTTTTGATACTTTCCCTCGATTGCCGCGAGTATAAAAGAGGGGCGCACATGGCGTTTTCCTCCTCTTGCTCGATAGCTTTCCCAGCGTTTCTGCACTTTTGATAATTGTTTTGAAGTACTTAAAGCCTCCGAGAACGGTTCAGCAAAAATCGAAAAATCATGCCACCCATTAGAGCCAGAAAGTCCCAAGCCACCGTCAAGTCCACCAGGGCAAACAAGTGGACCAAGGGAGCCAGGCAGCAGCAGGACAGAGGGGGGGGGAGGAAACCTAACCGCTGTCCACCACGCTGACACCAGGGCAGACCCTGAGATCGAGCGGATTGTGACTGGTACAAGTACCCAGGCCTGGGAGGAAGACGTTTAATCCTCCACGGGAATGGCGGAGGAGCATGTGCCGCTCATTACTAACAATAAGGGTAGGCAATTAGATTTTTCTACTTCGTGGCCTGTCCCGGAGGAAGCTGCCCTATCACCGGCAGGTAATTTCGGGGCGATGCCAAACATGGAGGTTTGCGCTGGGGACGATATAGGTGTCCATGTTCCAATCGCTTTAAAACAAAAAAAACTAGGTGGGGAACTATATAAACTTAGCCCTGCTTACAAAGGGAAGCGCTGAGCTGCAGCAGTTCGCTGCGGGTAGTAATTTTGTTCTAAATGATAAGGGGGAACTTGAGGCTAAGCCCAAAGTTTTGAATGAGAAGATAGCAACCATCGATAGAAGGACTGACGCTTTTCTATTATTCATGCACATATATATTCAAAGGCACCCAGGGAGGGCAGCCGAATTGGTTCAATATATGTATGTCATTCGCGACGCAGCGAGGAAATTTCCGGGCATGGGATGGAGAAATTACGACGAACAGTTTAGAGTGCGTCAAGCACTCTCTTACCAAAATTGGTCAAAATTAAATTCCGATTTATGGCTACGCTTGATAGCTGTCCCACCCAGGCCAGAACTTAGCCTCGCTGCATCGCATGCACCAAATCAAACTGGTGTCTGTTTCAGTTACAATAGAGGCCGTTGCATTACAGCCAATTGCAAATATGCGCATTTATGTTCTCTTTGTAAAGGAAAGCACCCAAAATCGAGTTGTGCAAAAAATAATACTTTTCGTAACTCAAAGGCCTCAAACAGCACCTCTGCAACCAATAAAGGTCAAAAACATTAAATTAGCAAATTCCCCTATAAACACTGCAGCTTTAAAAAATTCTCTTACAAATTATCCGAATTTAGAAGTAGCAAAAGAACTTATGAATGGTTTTCAATTTGGTTTTCGATTGCATTACCTGGGTCCTCGGGAAAAAACAGAAGCACCTAATTTGCCCTCTTTCTATAAACATGCAGATGTCGCTAGAGACAATATCAAAAAAGAAATTGACAAAGGACGGATGGCTGGCCCATTCAAATCACGACCTATGTCAAATTTGCGAATTTCGCCACTGGGAGTATTGCCCAAGAAAGCGGAGGGGGAATTCAGGGTAATTCATCACCTCTCCTACCCTACCAATAGCTCCGTCAACGACTTTATTGACGAAGAACTTTGTTCGGTCAATTACACAAAATTTGACGAGGCCATTAGCATGGTTCAGCGTTTAGGGCGTGGATCTTACTTAGGCAAATCGGATATCAAAAGCGCTTTTACATAAATGCCCATTTGGCCCGGTGATTTTGAGCTTCTGGGTTTCAAGTTCGACGGCTGTTATTATTTTGACAAATGCCTTCCCTTTGGGTGTTCTATATCTTGTGCTACATTCGAGAAATTTTCATCGTTTCTAGAGTGGCTGGTGCACGAGCGAGCTACATCTAGAGAAGTCCTACACTATTTAGACGATTTCTTGTTCGGGGGTCATACGGCAGACGAGTGTCAAATGATAGTGGATAACTTCATACAGGTCTGCCAAGAATTAGGGGTCCCAATAGCATGGGAAAAAGCGAGGGTCCACAGGAAGTTATTACTTTTCTTGGGCTAGAAATTGATACTCAAAAAATGCAGGTCAGGTTGCCGGAAGAAAAAGTGAATGAAATCAGCATGATTATTGAAGGCATATTGAAGAAATCGAAAACCAACTTGAAAACCATGCAATCTCTAATAGGATATCTAAATTTTGCCTGCAGAGCAATTCCTCCCGGTCGCACTTTCTGCAGGCAGCTGTCAAATGCAACGCGTGGTTTGTGTCAACCCTATCATCATTTAAGAGTAACAAAAGAGATAAAAGCGGATTTACTTGTATGGCTGGAATTTTTTGATAAATTCAACGGTTTTGTGGTATTCCAAGAAAAGTTTTGGGTATCTAACATAGATTTAAAACTTTTTACAGATAGCTCGGTGCGTCGAGGAAACGGTTTGGGAATTTATTTTAGCGGCGCATGGACCTACGGTGTATGGCCAGAGTTTTGGTTCAATGAGGGCTATACTAAGGATATCACTGTGTTGGAATTTTTTCCTTTGCTTGTTTCAGTACTTTTATGTGGGGGAAAGCTGCGCAACAAAAAAGTTTTATTTAGATCTGATAATCAATCAGTGGTACATATTGTAAATTCGATGACATCAAAATCAGAATTAGTAATGATCATGTTGCGCAAATTCGTTCTAAAATGCTTGCAGTTGAACATTTCATTTAAAGTGCAGCACGTCTCGGGCGTTCAGAAGTCATTGACGGACAGTTTGTCACGTTTACAATTTCAGCGATTTCACAAGTTGGCTCCGGACGCAGACAGTCAGCCGACACCATTTCCAGGGGCACTTTGGACTATTTTCGAGACGAAATCACTCGATTGTTAGATGCAAGCGTTTCAGCAAACACCAGGGTTGTATACTTACAAGCTTTAAAGAATTTTAAAGATTTCAGAATATTGACAAAACTACCTGATAAATGGCCAGTTCCTTCAAACCATATTCTGTTATATATAGCATATCATTCAGACAAGGGCTCAGCAGCTTCAACATTTTCATCCTATATTTCATGATCCGGCAGATTTATTCATAGTTAGGAAATCTTTAGAAGGGTTGCGCAGATTGAATAGAACAAAAGACCACAGAGCACCTATTTCGGAAGAGCTTCTCGCTAAAATCTGTTGCGCTCTTAATCAAGTGTGTTATTCGGAATATGAAACATTCTTGTTTAGATCAGTTTTTACCTTGGCCTTTTACGGTCTATTTAGGGTAGGGGAATTAGTGTATACCTCGGAGCATTGCGCCCATGTTCCCTTAACTATTAAGGATATAAAATTTTGTACGTCAAAGAGCGTTCCTTGGTAAGATTCTCTAAAACTGATCAAACAGGAAAAGATATCAATATTTTATTACCATCTATTCATCAAAGAAACATTTGTCCAGTTAATAACTTGAAAAAATTTCTTGCAGTGAAACCACGTGTTGAGGGTTCATTATTCGTGCATAGCAATAAATCCCCGCTAACGAGATATCAGTTTAACGCAGTCCTGAGAAAAACCCTTTCGAGAATTAATAACCCAATTTCTGCTTACAAATCACATTCTTTAGGAATTGGAGGT